AAGCTGAAATTTTGCACGCATATACACATGGGCAAGCTAGACATTTAGAAAAAAACCCAGCTCAAAAATCCCCCATAGGAAAAAAGTTAGCCCAGGAAAAGTTGCTTATTATCTGCTCTTTTAAGCCATACCAAGGGTGAAGGTCCGATACCTAACTTTGCGAAATACGCCGATTTGACCCATGTTTGGGACTTTTCCTTCTAATTAGGGCCCAGGCACATGGTAAATCACTTAAAAGCTAATTAAAAACAATTAGGGCAAAAAATGGATATTTTTTTCTTACAAGGGACGACTGCACGAGAAGCGCTCAAATCCAAATAAATTTTTATTTTAAAAAGTTACAGAGTGACAAAGCTGAAATTCTCCACGCATATGCACATGGGCAAGCTAGACATTTAGAAAAAAACCCAGCTCAAAAATCTCCCATAGGAAAAAAGTTAGCCCAGGAAAAGTTGCTTATTATCTGCTCTTTTAAGCCATACCAAGGGTGAAGGTCCGATACCTAACTTTGCGAAATACGCCGATTTGACCCATGTTTGGGACTTTTCCTTCTAATTAGGGCCCAGGCACATGGTAAATCACTCAAAAGCTAATTAAAAACAATTAGGGCAAAAAATGGATATTTTTTTCTTACAAGGGACGACTTCACGAAGAGCGGTCATATCCAAATAAATTTTTATTTTAAAATGTTACAAAGCTACAAAGCTGAATTTCGTCACCAAGTCAACGAGCTCCTTCGAAATGCTAAACCACAACGCAGCAACCTCACCAATGATGAACGTCAAGCCATCGTCGACCTACGCCAAGATAAATCCATCACAAGCAGACAAGGGTAAGGCATGCGTTGTCATCGATAAGGCTGAATTCCATACACTCGTCCAGCATAACTTATCCGACACGATCACCTACGTTTCCCTCACCTAAGACCCCATTTCTAAACGTCTCCGTCAAATGAAAGCACTAGTCAAACAACTGCACGAGAACTTTGAAATCAACCATCTTCAACCATCTTAACATAACCAACCCCACTCTTTCGTAATGCTCGTGCTACTGCCAAAGTCCAACAAGATACGTCTGCTTGTATGTTCTAGGAACACAGTGTATTACAATTATTGCTCTTCAACCATCTTAACATAACCAACACCACTTTTTCGTATGCCCGTGCTACTG